ACTGCTGCGCCACTGGGGAGGCCCTGCCCATTTTTTGACTGGATTGTTTACCTTGTTTTTGTTGAGTGTCGTCAGCTCTTTGTAGATTTTTGTGATCAGTCCTTTATCATTGGTGTTGTGTGCAAAAATTTTCTCCCAGTCAGTGGGGTTGTCTCTTTGTTTTGGCTACTGCCTCTTTTGCTGTACAGAAGATCTTTAATTTGATGTAGTACCAGCTGTTTATCTTTGCCTTCACTATCACTGCTTTGGGTGATGTGAGTTTAAAGATCTTACTGAGGTAAATGTCATGTTGTGTTTTACCTATATTTCTTTCTATTTATTTTATAGTTTCAGGTCTTATGTCTAGTTCTTTAATCCATTTTGAGTTGGTTTTTGTGCATGGTGTGAGGTAGTAGTCAAGCTTCATTCTTTTGCATGTAGCAACCCAGTATTCCCAGCACCATTTATTGAAGAAACTTTCCTTACTCCATTGCACATTCTTTGCTCCTTTGTCAAAGATTAGTCGACTGTAAATCTGTGGGTTTATTTTTGAATTTTCTATCTGGTTCCATTGGAAATGTGTCTGTTCTTGTTCCAATACCATGCAAATTTGATTTTTATGACTGTAGTATAGCTTGAAGTCTGGGAGTGTGATACCTCCATTCCCTTTATTTTTTTTTAATTTCAGGAGAGCTTTGGCTATTCTGGGGTTTTGGTGGCTCCATATGAATTTCATCAATATTTGTTCTATTTTTTGAAGAATAGAATTGAAGAATTTTATTTGAAGAATGTCATTGAAATTTTTATTGGAATAACATTAAATCTGTAAATTGCTTTTGGTAGGATGGCCATTTTGATAATGTCTGAATATTACATTACTATCCATTTTTGTACGTTGATTTTGAACTCGCTACTTTGCTATATTCATTTATTGTTTTTAAGAACTTTTTGATAGAGTCTTTGGGATTTTCTAAATATAATATACCATCTGTAAGTAGTGATAGTTTCACTTCTTTCCAACTTGAATCCCCTTTGTTTCTTGATTTTGTCTGATAGTTCTGACCAAAACCTCTAGTACTCAGTTAAGAAAAAGGGGTGACAATGGGCATCTTGCTTTTTTCACAATCATAATGGGAAAGTTATCAGTTTTTCACCATTGAATATAATGTTGGTTGTTAGTTTGTGGTATATAGCCTTTATTATATTGGGTAGATTCCTTCCATCCCCATTTTGGTTAGAGATACTATCATAAATGGATGCTTGCTTCATGCATTCTATAGCTAGTATTAAGTTCATAAACGCAGAGGATTATTATCCTTCCTATAAATGAACCCTTCTATTATGAAATTATCTGTAATAATTTTATTGCTGATTATAGAATGTTCTCTGAAAACTCCTTTGTCTGCTATTAGCATAACCACACCAGCTCACCTTCATTTTTTGTCAGGTACTAGTGTATATATCTTTTTCCATGCTTTTAACAAATGTGTGCCTTTATTTTCAACTTGCATTTCATATAGGTGGCATTTAGTTGGACTTGCTGTTTGATTCAGTTTGATCATATGCCTTTACATTGAAGTTTTCATATCATTTTCTTTTAATGTAATTTTCAATATATACAGTTAGGTTTAATCTGTTATCATGCTGATTGATTTCTGTTTGCCTCCACTGCCCTTTTTTACCCTTCTTTTGTTTCCTTCTAGAATATCAAGTGATTGGTATGACTTAGTTTGTTTCCTTATATTAGATAATTAGCTATAACTCCTTTGTTTCACTCTTTTAGTGGTGGTTGTAGTGTTTATAGCATATGACTAACTTACCACTGTCCACATGCAAGTAGTACTATAAGATATCATATGTAGTATGACAAAATTACAGTAGTTTACTTATGTTTCTCTGGTCCTACACAGATATTACCTGGGCCTGTGGAACTATAGTTTTAATTAAGTTCAGAAAGTTTGTGGCCACTTTTTTCAAAATACTTTTCTCCTTTCCCCTAACTCTTTGGAGAATTGTATCATGGCCATTTAAAATGTTCTCACAGTTCACCAAAGTCATCCTTACTAGTCTTTGTGTGTGTGTGTGTGTGTGTGTGTGTGTGTGTGTGTGATGTATAATGTATGTTTATTCCCAACCAGTATACTTGTCATCTCTGAGATTACATTTTTCATTTTTACAAGTGCTATTTATTTGGAAAATAAATAGCTTCCATGACTCTACACTTCTTTTTTTTTTCAGTTAAGTGACTTATAAACAGTTTGATCCTTCATGGTCTTGCTCTTTTCATCTGTTGGGTAAATCCAGAGTAATGCCTGAAGGCAAATTATTTCCCAATACCAAGACAAGACCTTTTTCACTGTTCTTTTCATTGTCCTGTTAATTATGAATTTTTCCAAACTAGCTAAAGGAAGCACCACCATTCCAGGTGCAGTTTATTATTTTCAGTTTTTTTTTTCCTCCACTGTCTCAGGTGGCCTCCTCATAGGAATTCACTGCCAGTTACTCTGTCAAATACTATAGAAGGCACCTCTGTAGATCATCAGGGCTCTTTCTTGATTCTGTTCTTTTCTCTTCCGTGATCTGACCTGTAATCTCTATCTTCTTGGTTTCACCAGACTCTCAATTTCATCAACTCACCTAAGAGTATCTGGTAGACTTCACCTTACTACCTTCTCCCTTTGTTATGATCTGGAAATTATCTTAAGGTAGTGAGCTGTGGGGGCATTGTCTTTCATTACTTAGAGTACTTTGTCGTGAAAATAATTTTTTATTGTATTTTTTTTCTGTTTTGCTTTTGCTTGTTTCAGGTAGGAGGGTAAATTAGTATCTGCTACTTCCTCTTGGCTAGAAGCAATTTGCAATAAAACTTCAGCACATGTTGTCCCCTACCTAGAGTGTCTTTCTTTTTCCTTTGCTTCCTGCTCCTCCTTCATTCCTCAGGACAATAGTCTGTTCCTCAGGGACCTCTTCCCGGAGACTAATCTAGATCAAGCACTGTCATGTGAGCATAGAATTTTGATTACTTGTAGTTTCTGTATGAATTTAGACTTTAAGCTAAACTTTATCTGTCCCTTAAGCAAAATAAGAGCCAGTGTTCCCATCTGTTCTATCTACAGAGTTTAGTATAATATTATTCACTTGTAGGTACTCAATATGTATCTGTTTAAGGTATGGATGAGTGATTGAGAAAATGAACCACCCCTTATATGCAAAAAAAGTGCTTATATATTTGTTTTCTCTCTGTGTTTTCTCCCCAGTTCAGTTTTTAATAACATATCAAAATCCCAGGATTTAATTTGTCCACATAAAAGATTATTTGAAATTAAAGATAATCACTGTGAACTACTTAAGGAAAAATATAGATAAATAAAAAATGAGAATTGTGTACTAATAAAGGATCTATTAGAAACAAAATACATAAACTGACACCTAAAGGAGCAAAATTTGAAACAATACTGCTGCTGCAATTTGAGTTACTGAGCTTTTTGGTGTTAAAGAAATATTTCAACTATTTCCTTTAATACTACAAATATATGAGAGAAGTTTGTAATTGCTAACTTGTCTTATAAGATTTTACAGGGTAGAAACCTTATTTAGTGATGTGGAATATGAAATTTTTGGAAATAGTATAGCAACTTTTTGATAGTGAATACTTTTGCTAATAATTTACTGTGTAGTCTTCTAAACCATACATTTAATTACCATATAGAAGAATATACCAGATGGAATACTGTATAGTAACTTTTGCTGCAAGGATTTCCTTTTGTATTAATCTGTATACTGAATAAAAGTCTTCAGTATGGTATTTGGCTGACATGCAGCAATGCTTAAATGTCTCTGATCTATATTTCTAAATTGTTCTCACAAGAGTTTATATCAGTTTCCATTTCCAACAACACACATGAAATGGCCACTTTTCTGAAGGCAGAAGTTGTCTTTAAAAATGTATGGTTCATGGGTGATGTGGTGGTGGGAGATTTATGGGGACTACATATGAGCAGGAAAATCAAATATTCTATAAAGATAAACAATAATGTTAAAAAGTAAAAGTGTTTAATAAATAAAAATAAAATTACCACAAACAAAAAAAATATGCAGTTTTAGTCTTAACCTATGCATGGAATAAAAAAGAAAAGTGGAAAGTGATTACTGAATAATGTATTCGACAATTATCTTCTACTATGTCAATTTATTTCAAGGTGTCTGCTAAAAGCAAATATTACTTTTTATCATACTTAGTTAATATGGGTTGTCTTGTTCCAAAAGGACTATAAAAATGATTTCTAAAATACCTAATGATCAACAAGCTCAGTGGAAAGTGTTGCAAAAGAATAAACACATAAAGAGTAGGGCAACAGCTAACAGACTCCCTCATCTAGTCTTGGATTATAGTGCTCAACAGATGGATGTTGTGTGAAAGAAATCTGCAGATGCTGTCTTACACTGTAAATAATTTTTAAGATTTATTTATTGATTGATACAAGCTCTGGGTACAGTCAGAAGTGGAGGAAGGTGAGAGAATTCACCAGAGACAGAGCGGGGAACAGAACAGGCAGACTGACGAAGTACACCGCTGAGGGGAGCAGCGGGTTTGGCAGGAGAGGTCTGTGCGCAGGAGAGGAGAGGACTGCACACAGTAGAGGAGTGGTCTGCGTGCCATGTGGGACCCTCGCCAGTGGCTGGGGATTGAGCAGGTGCTGCAGAGGCTGAAGGCAGCTTCACAGCCCAGCGCTCAACACTTTGCCACCGGGGACACGCCACTGCAAATCATTTTTAGTAGTAGCTGTAATATTTTGTGAAGTTGAAATTTTTTTCTAGTGTATTTGTCAGCTTGCTTAAAAAGCAAAACTTCCCTTTCAAATTCATAACTAAACTATGCATAGAGAGTACCAATAACTATGTGGAGCAAAATGGTTACCTTAACCCTAACTGTACTCTATCATTTCAAAATTTTTCTCTCTGCAATGCTTCCTAGAGTCATATATACCTTTAATATGCTGACTTCTTATTGGAACACTTAGGGATCTGCTATGAAAAGAAGAAGAGCACTACAGGAGTGGTGTTCAAGTGAAGCAGCAGCTGGAGTCCACACTGTCAGCAGTAGCTGTGGAACTGAGAGCTCTAAGAAGTGATTTAATGAAGGCAAGTTCCTCCCTGGCAAACTTTTAATATTTCTAACTTTAATCAAAACTAGTTATAATATCACATTAATTTGATGTCTATTGTTCAGGTTTCAAACATTCCAATCAGAAGCTTAGGATTGACAATGGTCCAATCAGGCTTGTGGGGGAGTGCCTTGAAGGAGATTTGAGGTAGAGCAAGAGCCAGCTGGAGTCAGTGTGCAGCCATCCTCTGAAGAGTGAAAGATGCATTGAACCACCTCTGAAGAAGCATTCTGTTCCAAGCTTCAGAAGAAAGAAGGATTCATGTTGCTGTTTGAAAAGAAAGCTTTCATCAAACCATTTTCGAAGAAGAAAGATTCTGCTCCCGGACTCCGAAGAGAGAGATGCATCAAGCGGTCCACCTCAGTGGGACTCACCAGACCTCTGTAGAATGTAAATCTTATAGACTTTAGACCTCCACACATCCATAGACCTCCACAGAGACCGCTGCTCCATCTGCCTCAAGCTGGCTCTTGTTCTGCCTTATATCCCCTTCAGGGGCCTCCACCCTATAAGCCCGATTAGGCCATTTTCAATCCTAAGCATATGACAGGACCATTTAGCACTAATCAGCTCATTTTCCATTTTTCAATCTGAATAATTAATGAAGTAGACTTGAACTTAATTGGTCCCCTTAACTCCCTCCTGATTGGTCCATTTTGCTCACAGCTGATTGGTTCCATTTTGACTCCTAGAGCCTGATACTAAAGGGAGAAAAGTCCAGTTGGATGGGCACTCAGGTCAGGGCAGGCTGGTGGGCTTGTTGTTTCCACAGAGGCGTGGCCAGAGCTAGCCTAACTGGTGCCTGGGGAGGGGACCATCCATATGCAGTGGGCTGAGGCCAGCACAAGTTACCCCAACACAGTCACCTTGCCGCGCAGCCTCTGGGGCTGCAAGGATCCAGTTACGAGACTGCAGTTTGAAGCAACCATCCATGGTGGTCTCACAGTCTGCAGAGTTCTTGGAAATGTTGAAGATTATGGAGGTATCAGTGGTCCCTGCAAAATTCTACAGAGAGATGTGGCGTTCTCTGTGAAGGTCTTTGGAAGTCTTGGTGTCTGGATAAATCTGTCTGTGAAGGGTCTGATGAATGCATCTGCTCAATGCATCAAGTCGCTGGTTGTGCGGGCTTTTATCCTCATCAGGGCCCCCACCTTTCAAACCCCACCTGATTGTCTAATTTAGAATCTTCAGTGGGCTCAAAAAACCCTGGAATGGAAGCAGTAAGTTTGGTCCATTGAGAGCTTAAACATGATTGGTCCACTTCAACCCGCGTCATATTCAAAAAGTACAACTGTGGCTGCTGTCCAGACCTGACAAGCAAGCTCATTGGCAGTGGGCTCTGCAGAACCAGCTTTAGTAGGGCTGGAGGCTTGATGAGCTGGCATGCTTCAGTGGGGCTAGGTGTGGTCGTGCCTGTGGCTCTGCAGAAGAGATGTTTCATGAGTCGGAGCTGTTGGAGAGCAGGCCACTGCTCAGAACCTGCCATGATGGCCATGTGCACAGCCTGTAGGCCTCTTTCCCCCAGCTCACTCTGGGCCTGGGCAAGCCTTTCTGCCAGAACCCCAGGACCAGCTGGTGAGGGGTAGAGCAAGGAAACCACCAGCGCCAATACAGTTGGATCCTGCCAGTCTGGGGCTTGAAGGAACATGGATGAGGTGTGGAGTGGGGGAAGGGCTGTCCCCATGTGGCTGCATGCCAAGGCGGAGAGCCCCCAAACCACCATACTTTATGGCCTTTAGGTGCCATGGGGCTCCGATTTTCAATCCTTTTAATCCAGTTTGCTAAGACTTTCGTTCAGAATTTTTGCATCTATATTCATCAGAAGTATTGGCAGAGACAATATTTCAGATGTAACCTTCCTGCTTTTGAGAAAGGTAACTTTTTTTTTTTCTTAAATAGCATCTATGGCCGTATAAGGAATTTTAGAAATGATATGCCATAATATACCAATAATTATTTTACCACAAGTTCTGCAGTGGTTTTCTCTTTCACATTTATTACTATTTTAAACATTTTTTAATTAATTAATTAATTTATTTATTTATACAAGCACTGGGTACAGTCAGAAGCATGGGAGGGTGAGAGAATTCACCAGAGCCAGAGTGGGGAGCAGAGCAGGCAGAAGGACCGAAGTACACTGCTGAGGAGCAGCGGGCGGCAGGAGAGGTCTGCGCTCCACGTGGGACCCTCTTCCTCTGGCTGGGGAGCAGCCTGGGATCGAACCGGTGCTGCAGAGGCTGTGGGCAGCTTCGCAACCCAGCGCTCAACTGCTGTGCCACCAGGGAGGCCCTATTTTAAACATTTTGAAGATTAAATAAAACTAATTGTAGCAGGAAATAATCTCATGATTTTTAAAGACAGCATATAAACGTCACCTTATTTATGAGTAGTGCTCTGAAACAGAAGACTTCTATTATATCAATATATTTACTCCAAGGAAGCAGATGTGGTTTGGTACACTAGTGCTAGTAGAGTCAGAAGACCAGGGGAAATCCTATAGTTTGCTTGTATTTTTAACTTCTCCCTTCCTGAATTGACATCAAAATGAGTTCATTCGTATGTGTAGCTTAGAACTTCATGCATACTACCATGCCTGGATTTACCAGTTAGCAATAGATTGAATCCTTATATTTACCAGTTAGCAATAGATTAAAAATGCTGAAAAAGTACAATATAAATGGAATCTTAGGGAAAAAGAAAACTTTTAGGGAATTTAATCAGTCCAAAGATATACACTAATCTTTTATGCCTTCTGCATTTGCTGTAATTCATAGCTAGTCTTTTTCCAGTTCTGAGATTCTTAGTTTTCTCATCTTTCCTTTTTTATCGTCATGGACTCAGTCTTCAGTTAAATTCCTGAACTTCAGGGCAGTTATGCTTATGTAAATTTTGATGTCCTGCTGATTTTGTTTTACTTGCATAGCCTCTATTGCTATCTTTACATTTATAAGCATATCATTTGCTTTTAATTTCAGAGAAATTGTCATTTTGTTGACTGCTAACAAAATCTCTATTTTACTTAGGCTTCTGATGGTAATTAAAGAGAGAAAGATCCAGTACATAAAAGTCACACTTTGCAGGACGAAATCAGTATGCTAAAACTGGAAATAAATACAATGAAAAATCAAAACCAGGAAAAAGAGAAGACCATTGAAATTATAAAAGAAATGAATGATTTTCTGCGAAAAACAATACAACTGAATGAAGAAAGACTTGCAAAAACAATATCCCAACATTGTGAACAACTTCTTGTTCTAAAGAGTGAAAATAACTCGCTAAACACTCAATTGGAAAATGAAAAACTAAAAACCAAAACACTGAAAACAGAAGTTGAATCCTGCCGTGGTAGACTGGATGCTGCTGTACAAGATCGTGGTCAAAGTCACAAGTCCAAGAGGGACCTAGAATGCCATTTCCAAGAGACAAGAGAGGAGAGATTACATTTAGAGGAGAGATTATCTCAACTACAAAGGGAAAACATGTAGCTTCAACAGCAACTAAGTGTGTCTTGCAACAAAGCTGACAATAAAGAGGAGACATTAGTGAATATTGGAGGCCAGCTTCAGGACACTATAAAAAGGATTCAAACTGAAAATGAGAAACAATAAACAAACGACGAGTTAATTGATGAATGGCATCGTTTAAAAAAAAAAAGAATATATAAGTATGAAAAAGAGAAAGCAGCAAGAGAAGTAAGTATTCTCTTCAGAAGAATATTTTTCAAACTTCGTGAAGGAAAACTCAAAGTAATAATTGGTTAGGGCTAAAGATTGAATCTAGTGAATATGAGTAATATATAGACTTTGATCATATTTGCTTTGTCAGCTTAGAACCATTTATTGTGTCCAGTAAATAAATATTAGGCCTGAGAGGTACTTTACACTATGTAAAGACTTAGAGTACCTATGAAATTTTAAAAGGATAAATAATAAGTTGTCAATAGGTACAGACTTATATTAATAACTTGGTCATACTGCTGATGTGGGGGGTGAGAGGATCCCCCAGAGACAGAGTAGGGAACCAAAGAGGCAGACCGACTGAAATACACTGCTGAGGGGAGCAGGGGGCGAGTCAGGAGTGCTCTGCTGTGCCATGTGGGTTTCTCCCTGGCCGGCCTGGGATCAAATCTATGCCTTAGAGGCTGTGGATTGCTTCACAGTGTGATGCCCAACCCCTTGTGCCACCAGGGAGGCCCAGTGAATATATCTTTTTTTTTTTTTAGTAATTGTTTACATTTTTTTTTAAAGATTTATTTATTTATTTATTTATTTAGACAAGCACAGGGTATAGTCAGAAGTGCGGGAGGGTGAGAAAATTCACCAGAGCCAGAGCGGGGAGCAGAGCAGGCAGAAGGACCGAAGTACACTGCTGAGGGGAGCAGCGGGCCGCAGGAGAGGTCTGCGCGCCATGTTTGACCCTCCTCCGGTGGCCGGGGAGCAGCCGGGAATCGAACCAGCGCCGTGGAGGCTTCGGGCAACTTCGCAACCTAGTGCTCAACCGCTGCGCCACCGGGGAGGCCCACCAGTGAATATATCTTTAAAATGTTATTCCAGGACAGTTTGAATCTCCTCTCCTTTGTTGATTTCACGACTTAATTTTTATGCCTAAATAATTTCATCTAGTTAAGCGGATGTACTATATTTTAAGATAAGGATATTTGAAACTTTACAACTTAAATAGTGTTATTGTTATAAAAATTGCTTGTCATAATTCTCCCAGTAGAAATATTAATGAGTTTATTTTTTTGAAGATTACAATTTCAATTGAAGTGGTCTTCAAGTGTCACTACACTTGGCACAGTTTGGCTACTGGTGAATTCATTTTCTTGACGTGATCTTTGACACTATCGCTGGAGGGCACCCTGAGACAAACTATCCTTCTCAGTTTTAGATTTTCTGCTCTCCAGAAAGGCATACACGTGAAATGAGGAAAGCTGCAGGAGGTGAAGGGTAGTATCATTTACAGACTGACTACAAATAAATATTGGGCTCTGCTTCTGCTTGAGGAGGTGTGTGGAAGCCCAAACAGGTAGTTCTCAACACCAGTGCCTTTGTAACAGTGTTAAGGGCTTTCTTTTCCCTGAAGCTGTTTAGTTCTCTTTAGTCACCCACCAGGCAGCTGTCCTGTTCTCCCCTAGAAGTTGTTCTAAGTTAATCTTCAGCACCAAATGTTTAACTCTCAGAGGTAATGAGTGAAATGTGTAAGGATAGTGAAAGGAAATGCTTGACAATATCCCTAAAGCCCCCTCCGTCACTGCCCGCCCTCTGCTGCCCACTGCTTTGAATTACTTATTATAAACCCAGAAACATGGGTGGGCTTCTTTACCACAATTTTAATCCCCTAATTGTAAACAGTATGTATGCACCAACACATTTTGAGTGTTAAAACATTGTTTTATGGGAAATTCATGTTATGGCAACATTTGTTTTTAAAGTGCAAATTATTTAGGCAAAAATGAAATATTAAGGATTTGGGTTTGGCAATCTTCACATGACCATTGAGAAGCTAACAGAAGTCAATATCGAACGTCTTGAGGAGGAGACACATCACAAACATGTATTCAGCGCTCCTCCTCCGAGGCCACGCCTACTGCTATCTTGTGCAACAAGTCCACTCAATAGTCTTAATAATTGTTTTCTGCTTGACAGTTATCTTACAACAAGACAAAATTCAACAAGTTTTCCTACCTTCAACCCATGGCCTTAAAACGAAAGCATAGACACTTAACTAGGTTAGTTATATTACCTTTTGACAAATTTTATATCACCTTGTTTCAAATCTCTGATGCAATTTTAATTTATACTTTGACAAAATTCTTAGTCATTCAACTGACTTATTTATACATGCTAAGTAAATGTCAATTACTTGTGCTAACAAAGTAGATAGAAAATTTAAAAATATAAGTCCCTGGGTCTTTCATTTTCAAAAATCACTGATGTAATTGAATTAGATGCAATGAAATCAACACATTTAAAATTTCTTCAAAATCAGTATTTAATCAGATCTTAGAAATTAAATATTATTGCTTGATAACCAGAAGTTTACTTTGAGATACTTTGAATTACTTTATGTTTGATTTCAGTTTGACTGTGGTTCATAAGAATTTGAAAGTTTCTCTGTACATTAACTGCCTCATTTTCTGCTAGAATAAGGTGCCAATCCAGATATTTTGACATCAGTGGCAAATCTGCGCTCCACTATGCAGTTGATAAAGTGAATCAGTCGATAATAACAAAGCTGCTTCTACACAAAGTAGATATTGAAGCATGAAACAAGGTATAGACCAAGTAACATAATATACAAAATATATGAACTGCATTTTTTTTTTATAGAAGCATGGAGTACAATCAGAAGCGCAGGAGGGTGAGAGAATTCACCAGGGCCAGAGCAGACAGCAGAATGGCAGACTGACAAAAAACACTGCCGAGGGGAGCAGCTAGCGGCAAGAAAGGTCTGTGCACCATGTGGGACCCTCCCACAGCGGCCAGGGATCGGACAGGTGCTCCAGAGGCTGTGCCAGCTTCGCACCCCACGCTCAACTGTTGTGCCACCGGGGAGGCCCTCAATTGCATTTCTTAAGCCACAAAACATTTTATTATCTACATCTCTCTAATATGTATGCATCCATACATTCATAGTGAAGACAATACACAAAGCCAGAAGGAGGAATATGTACGTTTTCTGCTACAACATGGTGTCAATCCAGATATTTTGGACATCAGTGGCAACTCTGTGCCCCACTATGCAGTTGATAACGAAATCAGTTGATAATAACTAAGCTACTTTTACACAAAACGAATATGGAAGCACAAAACAAGGTATAGACCAAGTAACACTATTTACAAATATATGACCCGCATTTTTTTTTTTTTTAATATAAGCACTGTGTACAGTCAGAAGCACGGGAGGGTGAGAGAATTCACCAGAGCCAGAGCAGAGAGCTGAACAGGCAGACTGACAAATTACACTGCAGTGGGGAGCAGCGGGCTGCAGGAGAGGTCTGGCGACATGTGGGACCCTCGCTTGGAGGCTGGGGATTGAACCAGCGCTCCAGAGTTTGTGCCAGCTTTGAACCACAGCACTCAACTACTGTACCAACGGGGAGGTCCTGAATTGCATTTCTTTTGCCACAAAACATTTTATTATCTACATCTCTTTTATTTGTATGCATGCATACATTCATAGTGAAGACTATACACAAAGCCAGAAGGAGGAATATGTATGTTTTCTGCTAGAACATGGTGCCAATTCAGATATTTAGGACATCAGTGGCAACTCTGGTCCCCACTATGAAGTTGATAACGAGAGTAAGTTGATAACATCTAAGCTGCTTTTACACAAAGCAAATATTGAAGCACGAAACAAGGTAAGGACCCAGTAACATTATTCACAAAATATATGAACTGCATTATATATATATATATATATATATATATATATATATATATATATATATATAAGCACTGGGTACAGTCAAAAGCATGGGAGGGTGAGAGAATTCACTAGCATCAGAGTGGAGAACAGAACAGGCTGACTCACACAATACACTACTGAGGGGAGCAGCTGGTGGAAGGAGAGGTCTGTGTGCCATGTGGGACCCTCTCCCATACGCCGGGAATGGAACCTGCGATGCAGAGTTTGCGGGCAGCTTTGCAACCCAGTACTCAAATGCTGTGCCACCAGGGAGGCCCAAACTGCATTTCTTAAGCCACAAAACATTTGATTATCTGCATCTCTCTCATATGACTGCATGCATACATTCATACTGAAGACAATGCACAAAGCCAGAAGGAGGAATATGTATGTTTTCTCCTAGAACATGGTGCCTATCCAGATACTTTGGATATAAGTGGCAACTCTGCCCTCCACTATGCAGTGGATAATGAGAATCAGTGGATAAAAACTAAGCTAATTTTACACAAAGCAAATATTGAAGCATGAAACAAGGTATAGACCCAGTAATATTATTCACAAAATATATGAACTGCTTTTTTTGTTTGTTTTTTATACAAGCATTGGGTACAGTCAGAAGCACGGGAGGGTGGGTGAGAGAATTCACCAGAGTCAGAGTGGAGAGTACAACACGCAGATTGACAAAGTACAGTGCTGAGGGGATCAAGGGGTGACTGGAGAGGTCGGGGAGACATGTGAGACTCTTGCCAGGCGGCCAGGGATGGAACCAGTGCTACAGAGGCTGTGCCAGCTTCCCACCCCAGGGCTCAACTGCTCTGCCACAGGGGATGCCCTACTTTGCATTTCTGAAGCCACAAAACATTTTATTATCTACATCATCTCTCATATGTATGCATGCATACATTCATACTGAAGACGATATGCAAAGCCAGGAGGAGGAATATGTATGTTTTCTCCTACAACATGGTGCCGATCCAGATACAATTGGCATAAGTCAGCAAGATATCCATATAGACGGGTATGGAACTCTGAAGACCTGGAGGGACTAAAGAGTAACAGACTGCTTGTGACAATGCTAGAAGCATCATGGTGGCACAGGAGATGGACAAGATCCGGGAGCTGCGGGACAAGACCTCACCTGCAGGAGACACCCGAGAGGACCAGCCCAAGGCCACTGAGGCAGCAGAATCATTGGAGAAAGAAAGAGGATCATGATTCAGAGCTCACCAGTGCTGACACAAGGAAGAAGCCTATGAACTTGGGACTAATGGACTTGGACTGACAATCCCGGCAGAAGGCGGAGGACCTTGGCATGTTATTTTTTTTGGGAATCTGGGGGTGGCCAGTGGGTGTCAATGGCCAAAAGCAGCCTGTGTATGCCCAGCAGCTAGGCAGAGGAAAAAAGCCAAATTTGAGAAGCAAAAGCTGGTGCTAAGTTGAAAAGCCCTGAGCGGCTGTTAAGCAGCCTGAGTATGCTGAAGACAAGTGAGTCTCTTAAAATCACCTGTGGATGATGCACTGCTCGTTCTTGCCTGAGGGTGAATTGCTGAGGAACCCGTTCTTGGGGAAGGGTGGGGAACGTGGCTTGGGTGGAGCCCAAGCTGAAGAGAGGCCCAAGATAGGCCGCATGTAGAGTTTGGATCCCTGATCCATGCGCTTGTGCAGTGGGCTGGCCTGAGTGCAGGGGTCTGTGAGTTACATTGGTGGCTATGAAAGCCGAGTGTTGGAGCGACCTCAGACAGAAACCGTGAGGGTTGGCGATTACCCCCAACAGTAGAATAGAATCGCCAATCCCAGAGTGAGTGCATCCTGGGGGTGGATGTGGTGTGTGGCTTGTAGCCGAGACTACAGCCAGGGAAGGCCAAGAAGCCTGACGGCTCCTGGTGTGTTACAGTAGAGGCCATGAGTGGTTTCCCTGCCTCATATGAGAAAGATGTGGTAATTGTTGTCTTCCTGCCTTAATGCATATGCTTATGCACTCCCAAGGTTTTCTTGAAATGCATAAATAAAGAGCTGCTGAGACCCTCAGCAGGATGATGTCTGCACCCTGATCAGGTGTCTGCATCTCCTCACTCCCCCTCCCCATCATTCTGCAATGGAGCTGACACAGTCCCATCCTTCAGGAAGCCCTGACACCCATTCTGCTGTGGCTGGCTCGCAACATTCACATAAGTATTATATAGCAAGTATTATATAGCAGTTGAAAAATAATACTTGACTATCAAAGTAAAAAGAACAAAAAGGATGAAAAGAAGGACAATGATAAAAAGAAGGAAGAGAATGATCTAGGTAGCCTGGCCCCGGCCAGTTCACCTTTCTGAGTCCATTTATTATAAAGCATATGTGGGTAAATTTCCTTTTTTTAAAGATAGGATTTCTGTCATGCCATGGAAGGAAGGGAGGGGGATATGCAGGATCTCAGTGTCTAGCCAGTACAAAAGGTAGTGCTAGACTTTCAGCGAAAGTAGAGGACAAGCAATTTGAAACACATGGTGATGTCACAAGGTAAAATCTGTAATTCTTCCTTTCAGATCGAAGAACTATTAGCAGTCATTGCTTTTCTGCAAATCAAACAGGATGAGTAGTGTTCAGACCAAGGCAAGTAAAATCTCACCCTTATCAGACAAATACTGCTAAGAGGTGAATGATGTGGGCAATTCAGCTTTGGTTTCTCCACAAAAGGAACGGGTTCACAAGCCTTTGTGTATGACTTGGAACATCGGTTCACACTTCATCAGATGTATGTTCCCTCACACACCCACACCAATGCATCCATGTCTTTTTCCCAGACCCCTGGGCCCCCTCCCTGTTGTGTGCAACCACTCCTACTCCCCCATCCAGTAGCACAAATTCTGTAGTACAATATCCTGGGTTTGTTTTGCTTAGGGTTGCCAGTTTTTGTTTAGTGACATTGTGGTGGAACTGTATTGCAGCAAAATACATTAATTTATATTCATAGATGTGTACACATGGAGGGAAGTCCTGGGAGAACACAACCTTTCTGGGATTAGTCTGGGAGAGCCCTGACCTCTAGTCATGGAGAGCGAGCACTGAGCCCTCTTCCCTGGCAAGGGGTTGCAGCCCCTGGTGCAGGGGTCAAGCTCCCAGCTAGCTTGGTGTACAGCAGAAACAGAGGGTGGCTGTCTAGGGGCTTGCCCCAAATTAGCCCTGTGGAGGGCGTTACTGATAAGCATGAAAGGATGTAACTTTACTTTTTTATTATTAATGAAAATTTCCCTGAGTTACCATTTCTTTTACCTACATTTATCACCACTGATTTGGGGGTTCTATCTTTCCCATGTTCCTCTTGTGTGAATGTCCCAGAGACTGCCCTGACAAACTCTGGTCTTGGGTCTCAGTGTTCTAATATCCTAAGGGGCAGCCCTTTTAGGGCTGGGAGGCACAGGGGTCAGGGAATTGAGCTCCTGAGGGTTGCTTTCCAAGGGCACATCCTGAAGTTGCCCCATGGGGTCTGGCCGTTACCCTGGGGCATTATTAGGATGATGAGTCATGATCATCATGACTCATTTTTTAAAATAAATTATAAAATCTTCCCTATTTTGGGAAAGCCCACCTAAGTCCCTCTCTTTTACAAATAATCCACCTTCTCTCCCCTCAGTAAAGTGTTAGATACTTAGTATTGCCTCATATTCTGGACATGGAGTGGGGGAAATATGTAAACCTATTTGTTTCCATATTTGAAACTTGCTAAACATCTCTGCCCAGATCCACCCCTTGGCTTCACATGCCAGCAGCCCTAAGATTCGGCAACTCTCCTCTCACAACACAACTCTTTGGTATCTCACTTCCTTATGCTTTATCTTTACCAAAGCCTCAGAAAAAGATCAATTCTTTCTCTATAATCCTTTTTCCGTTTTTAATTCCCCAAAATGTATTCCCTCTTTAAGTCAAGATAAGTGACTTTCAAATCACATACACCGAAACAGCAATCTTGGTGGTTGCCTCAGAGAGTAAACAGACATGTCTATATCCAACGTGTCAAAAAAAGAAGGGGAAGAGTGATTGTGCACATGTATTGATTCAGCAAATATAACTGAGCATCTACAATGTACCAAGAAGTTCTCTAATGCCTGAAAATGAGTAAACAAGATGGAATCCTTGCCCTCAAGGAATTTACAGTGTTTTTATTTATTTTGGATAGACCAAAGACAAGTAAGCAGGCAATGATGCACTGACATCTGAGCCTCAGAGATAAATGGGGGGCATAGGAGTCTTTGGGGTGAGCCTCCTTCCTAGTCTGGGGGAGAGTCCAGAGACATTCAGAAGACAAATCGAAGGATCTTGGGGTGAGGGGAACAGCGGGAAGATGCATACTCTGGCAGTCAGAACATGCAGCAGGGCCGCACAGCTGGAGAAACCAGCATCATTTCAGAACATCCAAAGGGATTCAGCCTAGCTGGACAGTCCTGCAGGACCTGTCTGCAGGGAAGGCTGTGAGGGGAAAGGGAGGGGTGTGGGAAGCCCATCTCGCCTCCTCCACCACCCAGCCATTCAAAAGGAACTACCAATGCATATCTGTGCTCTGAGGCTACTTCCTGCCCTCCATTTTTTTTTGGTGAAAGCTCAGGCAGGCTCCATTATTTTTTTTTTTCAGAAAATCTCAAGTAATCACCAAAGCCTCCAGTTTTAGAAGTTAGACACATTCATTTCAGCAACTAAAACGCCTAATACTGGTAGTCAGAGAACTTCATTTAAACTCCCTGACCCACCTCAAAGTGGGTGTGGTCAGCTTCTCTCAAATGCCCAGCCTTGAGCTTTTCCTCATATGCTCACCCTCCTGGCCTTGCTTCCACCCTAGCGTCTAGGACAGGGACCTGGCAGAGGGGAGCTCTGACCTCAGTGCATGTTCAGGGCTGACTCTTCTTGGGGTGCTCTTGAGTGTCCCTCAGATTTCCCCACTGACCACATCTATGTGAGTGTCCCTCCAGTCAAGAGCAAAGCATCTCCTCAGGCCAGCGGTGGCCT